TGTTAAATTAACAGAATGTTTTTGTAAAAGTATGTTTCTCTACTAACATTTAATGTGAATTTTTAAGGTATTGTATTTTTTAATATCTCGCAGGTTTCATACTCTGATTATAACAATAGTTAGTGTAGCTAAGATGTTTAAAAAGGCCTATACTAATCAGTTTCTTTAAAAATACTTACCAACTCTTAAATTTGATTCTATATTCTCCCTCTCTTCATCATCGGGTGTTTTCAATTTCCAAGCTTTCATTAACACTTGTTTGGCACTTTGGTAGTCCGACATTTTACATAGAATATCCGCTTTAGCTGAGAGTGTTTCACATGTTTTTAATACCTGTAATATAAATTTAATTTCAACATATAGAAAAAGAACAAATTAGAAACGTAGTAAAAAATATACTCTATCTCTCAGTGACAATATAGCTTTCTAATGGCAAAAGATTTTTTTAAAATAGGTTCAGCAGTTTTTGAGTTTATTTGTTACATAAAATCTTTTATTTCTATAATAATATAATGTTATATGTTTATTGTGTACTTAGCCAAGTCTCCTTAGTGCATACTAATGAGATTGTTAACTACATTCTAAGTATGACAATTAGTATTTAGGCTTGCTTTAACTAAAGCTGACTTTAATAATTTGGCCATATAGAATTTATTTACATATTTTTGGTATAACTGTGTGATTTTCAATCATATTTACCTTATTTTCTAGCCTACTAGCAACTTCTATAGCTTTATTTAAACAATTCAATGCTTTAGCAAAGTCTTTTTTCTTATTACTATAAAGTAAAGCTTCTGTTGTGTAACAATTGTGAAGTATTTCATGTAAATCCTGATGCGAACAGATGGTGATGGCTTTATTGATGCAATCTAATGCTTTGTCAAGACTTCCGAGATGCTCTTGTACTACACCAATATTTAATAACAAACGAGCTCTCATATCCAAAAGTTCAGTCTTTGTTATTTTACCGTTTAACCTAAAATGTTAATTAATTTTATAATTTACTGTATCCTTTGATATGTGAAATTAAAATAAGAAATTTAAATAGTGCAATATTTTGGTTTTAAATATGGAGATAAAGTTATTACATACTTGTCAATTCCACATGAATAAATTCATAAGCTTCTGATGAAACATATTTATTTTATTTAAAATATATAGATAAAACATTCCACTTTGAAGATTTGGAAATTGGATTAAGATTATTACTTACTTTTCACATAATACTAGACTTTTCATGAATGCTTTTTCAGCTGCTGTCAAAGAGATTTTAGCTTCTTCTTTACTGTTAGAGCTCTGTCCCTGTAATAAATATATACGACCAAGGGTAGCCATAGCCCTTTGTTCCTCAACTAGGTTGTTTAATTCCTTTGCCACGCCTGGAATATTAATATTTGATATCTTAATAAGTTTTGTCAAATTTGCTTTTTACATACAATATTTTACAAAACAAGCAAGCGGCAGGACCACATAGATGAGTATGGTTATTTGATATTTGATTAATAGAATACACATTGTCTAAACATGTTTTAAAGTTATTCATTAAAAAATATCACGTAGATTTATTTATTTTCATAACATAACCTTACCTAAATGACGCTCCTCATATTTTAGAGCCTTGTCAAATTCAGCCAACAACATGTACATTTCACCAATCATCCGGTTACAAGTGCCCCAATCCATACGTAGACCCAGTTCTTTAAGCACTGAGGCTTCATTTTTGTATTCGGCCAGTGCATCACAATAGCGATTATTTTTGTAATAAAACGTCGCCAAATCGTTATAAGCTTCTGCCAAACTACGTCTATTGCTCCCGTTTAAAGCCTTCTTCTTCTTGCGTAATAATTCTACAAAAAATGAATCAGAATTAGTTACTTAATTGCGAATTTGAAGTCATGCCTAAATTATACCACTTACTTTCCTCTTCCATATCTATGGGAATAATTAAATAGAAAGACTGTTTTCACATAACAATTTTATAAACGAGTACGGATCCTTATTAATTCAGTTTTTTTTGTTAAAACACAACAAACATACACCACGGGTATTTTATTTACGCTAAAATAAATGTCAAAAAGTTAACTACCTATTTGTCAAAACCAAAAATGGCGGGATGACACGTTTGGATATTTTCACTCACGTCCAACCTTTTACAAATATCAATATTGTTGACGAATTAATTTTCATAAATATTTATTTATTACATATTTCGATCACTTAAATACACCTATACAAAAACTACATTACGATAAACGTTGTTTTTTTTTTAAATGAAAGCTTGATTGTTAACTTATATGTATAGCAAGTTAAGCTCAACTAAGTTGCGTACTGTATCTGTGGTAAGTAGGGGGTTGCGGTCTTGCGGGCAAAGAAAAAAATAAGAAAAAGGATACGAAATGTCGTTTGTTGTTAAGTTCATGTTAATTCTTGACTGTGGATTGTTTAGAATTTTGTAGTGAAACGGTGTCTTTAATTAATATAAGTAAACAAACCTGTTCGGGTCCAACCATATTACAACTTTTCTCAAATTGCTTTTGAAGTTACAAGCTGACTTACGAACCGGCAAAGTGCATCGTTTTCAAAGTAAGTGAAGGTATTGTTTACTTGTTTGTTTTTCTTAATTTTGCCAATACATGAACAGTAAATAGTAAAATCTCTGTAATTTAAGTATATTAGATCAGTATTATCTTATTTAATTGATCATTAGACATCTTGAAAATAAATAAACACTTGGAAAAAAAATAATTGCAAGTAAATATCTAATAGTTTGAAGATTTTTAACATTACAATGTATGTGAATAAGTATCTCACATTTAATCACTGAATTGCATGTGCAAGTAATAAAAATAACAACAATTTTCTTTATCTCAATTTTCCTTTGCCTGTTATCAAATCGTTCAAGATTTTGGATTTAACAATAAGTAATCAATTTGCTTTATCTACATTTATGACCAATTTTTTTTAGTAATAATAAATGTGTGACATAAATAATTTTCAGTTTGTTAACAACCATGAATACACTTGTCTATACTAATATTAAAAAAAAAGAAAGATTTGAATTTTCTTTACTCAGAAACTACTGGGCCGATTTCAAAAATTCTTTCGCCATTAAAAGCTACGTTATCAGTGAGTAAGATAGGCTATGTTTTTTTATTATTTAATTACAAAGAAAGGAAATATTAATTTACGACCGCAAGCTCACTTCCGCAATTAACCGACCATTTTAACGATTCACCGTATTCAATAACTCATATTTCTCGTTTGTAGTCCAGAAATGACACATCCTACTTTAATAACTATCGACTCATTACGAAATGAACAATTTAGTGTAGTAATATGTGCGAATACATATCCACGCATCGCCCCTACGAGCGACACAGTGGCGCCCCCAAAGGCGCCGACCTGACCTTCCTCGTCCCATTAAATGGACGTCTTTGTTACTACTACCCTCGTACGTATGCCATTTTAAAAAGTTTTTCAGCTGAATATACGCAAGTGTATAAGGGAGGATGATTTTGGGGTTGAAATCTACATAAAATGCACTCTCTTCAATTATTTACATGACTTTTTAGATTTTTCCTCACTAATATTATAAATAAGACGGTTTACATTGATGGATGGATGTTTGTTAAAGTTTACAATCTAAACTGCTAAACAGATCTTGATGAAATTTGGCATAGATGTAGAGGATAGTCTTGAAGAACACATAGGCTATTTACTTTAATTATTAATCAGAAAGCTACTATTAGTATAACTTACTGGTTAGGAATGAGAAAATATAAGAAAAATGCTTTAATTGAAAATTTCTCCTCGTATTTTATTTACAAGTCCTTTCAAAGGAGATTTGGAGCGTAAGCTGCTAATTATTACGAAGGATTAAGCATAGTCGCCTCTCAAGTTAAATGAAATGATAACTTTAGTAGACTAAGTCTACACCGACTAATGGACAAAATATTTAACTTTTTATACGATTTAAATCGTCACTGTATATTTTAATTTTATAAATATTACATCACAAAAATGCTTCTAGAAAGTATGTCAGTATGCCATTATTTTATTTCAGATTGTAACTTGGACTGGTTCGTTTAATAATTTCGTTGCTATGAAGTATACGTACTTCTTTTTCCCGACCTAGTATTTTTGACCTCATAATTATTTCATGAAACTTTTCTACGAGAGCAGACGTATTTGTACTAAGGATATATTTTTTAACTTGAAAAAATAAACTTTTGTTTTTTTTTATTTTTGAAACATTGAAAGTATTTTATACTGTCTAAAATTAAAAAGTTCGTTAAATGTAAATATGTTCTCTTGTATGTGTTTACTTTTTTCCTAACTATATAACCTAAACTAGCTTACCCCTGCGACTCCGCCCGCTTAGAATTAAAAACGAAAATAAGTAGACTATGTGTTCTTCCAGACTATGCTCTCTGTCTATGCCAGATTTTATCAAAATAAGTTCAGTCATTTAGGCTACAAACTCTAACAAACATCCATCCATCAATACATCCATCTAAGCTTTGGCATTTATAATATTAGTAAGACAAGATACGTTTAGTCATTTATGCTACAAATTTAAAAAACATTCGTTCAATTAAACATCTAAACTTTCGCATTTACTATATTAGTAAGATTAGTAAGATAGAGTAGGCAATTCTTGCAAAATGTTTCTCTCAAAATGTTTCCGACATATATTGACCCTTTAAAATACCACCAAAACGTTTCTAAAAGCAATGTAACATTACGAAAAGTCGCAATATGTTTTATACGAAATCCAAATGTAAGGTTGAATATCTCGGTTGCATATTGCGAAAATAGAATATAACTTTACGTCGAAATGAACGCCTGAACGTCGGAAACGACGGCTTAAGGGTAACTTCGTCTGTAACGCTGCCGACACGAAAATGGCCGACGAACCGGCAAAACTGGGCCAAGAAATTCTTCAGCATTTCCAACAAATTATTCCGCGGTTATTGCTATCGTACTGATAGATATGTTGCGAAACTATGCGATTAAATTACCATACATTTTGGTTGTTAAAAAGACAATTTTCATAGAATCGATTAGTTTATCGACTTATTAGTGAGTTCACAAAGGTAGAAATAGACAAACAGAGTAATTAGAATAGTTCTATACATATTACAAAAGGTAATGTTAAATTCTTCATAGTATTTCTTAAAAGTTCTTGAAGGGAAATTGTGACAGTTTATTTTGGAAATCACGATGAGTTAAATATCCTATAATTACGTGTCTTTATTCGATGTACTAAGATTGATTCACACGTTCAAATTAGATCGTATGCTTTCGCAGAATCGTATTCGTGTTCGTTATTTAGATATCGGAGCGTACGGTACCGCGACACCGGCCCCAATTAAACCGAAATGATTCAGCGAACTCGCTCTGTTCTAATTTGTCTAAAATCCGCAACAAAATTTAACAGTTCCTGTTGCGGAAGGCCTTCGCCAACTCTTAATTACATACTTCTTGCTCCGGAACCAATTATCTACCGTTGATTTTGCATATTCATAACTTTCAAGTTTCACCTATGAATTATATTTGCTTGTCTTCTGATTACCAAAAAGATTTTAAATACGATTAACAAAACACAAGAAGCTGCATTTTACAATAGAATATTCTTCGCTGACCTAAATACGTTTTCTTTTTTAGTTGAAATTAATGACGTGTAAGTAACGCATTGAACTGAGACGATGTGTTTGTTCTGTTCCGAGCACAAAAGAATAAGTTACTGTATTTAATGGCTGCTTCCAGAATTAACTCCGCGCTTACGTGGCAAACGGGGTATTTAGGAAGCGTTTACACGGATTCTATGCCTCAATATAAGTTGATTCTATGATTTTGTGTTGTATTTATCAACTTGATGACACCATGTAACCATATAAAACAATATTATTGAGTTATGTGGTCTAGCTATGTGGTCCAGTGTCTGGGTCGGATTAAGCTGAAAATCTAGATCCTTCTACCCTTTATTGTTAAACATCGGATATCGACACATGCAATTTTCCGAAAATGTATCCTTATCAAAACGATTTTCAGTGTAAACGTAACTTTGTAATGAAGTTCGTCGAAACAATTTATAAGCTCGTTATCGCTTTTCGTTATCTATAGACTAGTAACGAGTTATATTTGAACGTTATAAAAATACATTAAATTGAATTTATGGCCTAAAGACGAACAACCGCTGACGCGTCGTAAACGTTCAATATGTTATTTTTTCTACGCAATCCCTTTTATCTTAATAATTCCTATTGACAGAAATAGAGCTGCTTTCATAGTTACTAAATTACACTTTGTTGTTATTAACGACTTTGTTTTGAAGTTATTTGGGGTACATTTTGGCTTTATCTTCTTCATAACTTCTCTTATGTATTGAAATGTGGTTAAGTTTCCAACGATATCCAATCAGTTTATCTAATCGCTCCGAAGATTAACTCCAAATAGACTGTCAATACAAAGTTTTAATATAACCATTGACGGTAAACGATAATCGTGTTTAGATCGTTCCATTCACTTAATCATTCGAAACTTCTAAAATATCGGTCCTCGGGTAACGACCGACCAACTGAATGGTTTTATTATAGACCTCATCTATTATGTATTTAGTGGTGCCCAATCGCAGGTCGGGACTCTAAACGAAAATCGTTACCGGTCTACGGATATAGAATACAGAACGAAAAGACAGGAATAGCTGATGGAATTAGTTCCTTTTCAATTGTCACTTTACTACAATACCATAGTAATGATCCTAAAACCTTAACAGATATAATTACTTGTTTATTAAAATATTATACGACTAGTTGTTGCCCGCAACTTCGTCCGCGTGTTAATTGTGGATAATATAGCTTTCAAATGGTAAAAGAATTTTTTAAAACGGTCCAGTTGATTTTGTGCCTATTCATTATAATCGAATAAAGTTTTCCTCTTTATAATATTAGTATAATAACATATTGGTAAACATTTTAGTTAAATTAAAATTCTAGCAATTAAATTCTCATTTAAAAATAATCACTTCATTGAGATATTTTTCATCTTTAAGCTCCCTAAGCTATAGTTATACCG